AAAACACAGACCCAGAGGGTGTGGGATGTTGTTCAAGTCTTAGTGGTTTGTGTCTAGTGTGTTATGGATCACAGCGTCAAACGGAGGATCAGAGTTCCCAGAGTAAACCTTCGGGCTTGAATTTCAATGCCGGTAGGCTCTGTGCTCATATCCTGACATACACACGTGGTTTGAAAGAGCAGGAGCCAGGCCGGCACGGTGGCTCACGCCCGTTATCCCAGCACTCTGGGAAGCCGAGGCAAGAGGATTGCCTGAGTCCAGGGGGTCAAGATCAGCCTGGGCAACTTGGTGGGACCTCGTTTCTACAACAAATAAAAAGATTAGCCAGGCGTGGTTGCACCTGTGGTTCCAACTAGCTGGAAGGCTGAAGCAGAAGGATCGCCTAAGCCCAGAAGGTCGAGGCTGTGGTGGCCGAGTGTGCCCCTGCACTCCAGCCTGGGTGACAGAGGGAGACACTGACTCAAAAACAACAAAAGAGCAGGAGCCCCAGTGTTTGAAAGCCTCGGCCTCGGAGCATCAGCAGAGCTCTCACCTGTGCCGGATACGCAGCAGGGCCTGCATGTCGCAAAGCAGGTGCGACTCAGCGGCCGGCCAAGAGGAACACTGTTACCACTGCCAGGAATGCATTTCTAGAAGGTTCCTTCAGCAGGAGGATGTCCTCCCGTTGGCCCCGCCATGGCTGGATGGCAGCACTGGAGGCCTTTTCCCACACTGGTGCTGGCAGCAGAGCCTCCTGAGAGCTCCTCGAACTCAGACACGCTGAGCCAGGGAAGGCCGTCTCCGTGCAGGGACCTCCTGGGACTCCTGCAGCCCCCGGGCTTTCTCGGGGAAGGCGCCTTGCTGTCACCTCACAGCCTCAGCCCGGCGCAGCCCTGGCAGCAGGAGCCGTGAGGGGAAGGGACAGCAGGTGGGGCGAGGGCACCATGAGGATGTCGTGGAGCGTGTGGGGTGTTTGTGCCCTGAATTCTCAGGGTCTTGATGCCAAGGACCTGGGCCCACACTCGCGTCATGGAAAATGAAAAAGGGCTGCTGCCCCTCCCTCCTTTCTGAAGTCTTTTTGTTTTCCAGATAAATGCCCAGCAAGTCACTGCTCAGACCCAGCAGTCTCGTCTGCCCTTTGCTCTGGTCTGGATTTGCCATTTTCTTACTTGTTCATCTAGTGTTAGGTGTGGCATTGTCCTTACTTTTTGGCTATTATGAGCAATGCTGCTGTGACATTCACATGCAGGCTTTGTGTGGACATGGGGCTTCATTTATCTTGGGTGTCCACCTAGGAGAGGAAGGACAGGGTCACGAGGTGATGAGGAACAGCCAAACCGTCTTCCCCAGTGGCTGCACCACCGTACATTCCCACGCGGGTACGTGAAGTGTCAGCTGAAGACTTGCAAGGTTCATGCACCTGGAGGACTTGTCTCCTATAAAGGGTCACAGCCTGCAGGCTGGTCATCCTCACAGCCCACCGCCTGCCCTGGCCACCACTGGTCCACTGTCTCTGTGCCATCCTGACAGCAAGCACTTTGAGGAGGGAGCAGTGACACAGGAACCCACGTTGGACGGGCTGGCCAAGTACACACATTTAATAGGCTGTAGGGGGCATGTACACACGTGTGCTGCGCAAACATACATGTCACACGTGTCCCGTGTTCACCATGGGGTGGAGACTTTATACCTAAATGTATTACTATTTAGCCCTGTATGTCACAAGGCTACTTCGGGACACACAGGCCTCTGTAGACCAGCATGGCTGGTCTGACTCGGGGCCAGTTAGTTGCTAGAGAGGAAAAGACGCCTTGTGGCTGGCAGGCAGGCAGAACGTGGCAAGCAAGCGTAGGGTTTGTGACTTAACCCTAACCTGGCACGGCCTCACGCCCTGTCTGTAATTTGGTATCTTATTGCTGTACGAGGTTTGACAATTAAGTTTGAGAACTCGCCTGTGTGCTTACATTGGCAGCACTGTACAAACAACTCAGTAAGGTTTCAAAACCTTGGTATATCTGTGTCTCATAGCTGTGGCAGTGTCTTGCTGAGTGGCATTCTTTATTGTCGTGGCATGTTTTGTGTACCACTGTGAGAATGTCAGAGCTTGAATTAGAACAATGAATACATTTCTTGTTAAACTTGGCAAGATGGAAGTGAAATCAGGGACATGTGAGTCCAAGTTTATGCCATGAAGAAAACAGCAGTGGACACCGACTAAACGTTTTTCTGAGGGGAGACAAGGCGCCACTGATAAAGAGATCAGGACAGAGAGTAACGAGCAGAACTAATAATAACATTGCAAAAATTTATCAACTGTTCATCAAAATTATCTGCTGTGAGAAGCATAGCAGACCAAACAAACACTGATGGGGAAACAGGAAAATCCTGACCGATATTCTTGGTGTGGCAAAAGTGTGCGCAAAAACAGTCCCAAAGGAGCTCCTGCATCACAGCAATGCACCAGCTCACACAGCACCGTGATCGGGTCTGTAGCCAGTCAGCAAATAACTGTATTGGAATACCCTCCCCCCTCACCTGATCTGGTCCCCAATGACTTTTTTCTTTACGCAAAGATAAAGGAAATACTGAAAGGAAGACATCGCGATGACATTCAGGACATCGAGGGTCAATGATGATGGCTCTGATGGCCATTCCAGAAAGAGAGTTCCAAACCTACTTTGATGAGTGGACTGGGTGCTGGCGTCAGAGCATAGCTTCCCAAGGCGAGTTCTTCAAAGGTAACCGTAGTGATATGCAGTCCTGAGGACAGTACATCTTTTCTAGGACGAATTTGTGAACTTAATTGTCAGAACTTGTAACGCACCCATTCTGTCTTGTGCTGCTCACGAGGGCTTCCATTTCCCACGCCTTCACCACCCGTCCCTCTGCCCACCTGGCGGACGTGAGGTAGAGCCCGTGTTTTGGACCTACGCCTCCCTGATGGTGAGTGATGCTGAGCGTCTGTCCACGGTTCGGTGGCCAGTGCTCCCTGATGCCCACTGGGTGTGGCGTGACCATCATGTTGAGCTGGGAGGACAGGGCAAGGTTGTAAGTCAGACACGCAGACTCTCGTTCTGCAGTTAGTGGGTTGTTTTGAATGTTCTTCCATTTACTGTCTGCCCCTGAAGACAGTTCCTGTGGACCTTGAGGAGTTGCCTTTTTTTTTTTTTAACCAGTTGTGGTTGTCTCACTGTAGAGGCCTCACCCCCTCACGTGGAAGTTGCTTCTCAGTGGCTGTACTTTCCTTGAAAACTAGACACGTCAGAGGTAGCTGTTTACATATCCTAAGCAGGATTCTGACAGTTCTGGGAATGCCATTTTCTAATAAGTGAGGCAAAATGGACACAGCAGTTGCTGACAAGTTACAGGGGTAGCTTCTCGCATTTCCCTGTCAGCCTCAGGACGTGAGAAAATGAGGTCACATTTTCTTTTTTTTGGAGTCAGAATCTCATTTGGTCCCCTAGGCTGGAGTGCAGTGGCACAATCATGGCTCACTGCAGCCTTGACCCGCTGGGTTCAGATGGATCCTTCTTCCTCAGCTTCCTGAGTAGCTGGAGCTATGGGCATGGGCCACCACACCCAGCTCATTGTTTGACTTATTGTAGAGACGAGGTCTCGCCGTGTTGCCCAGGCTGGTCTCGAACTCTTGGGCTCAGGCAATCTCAAGTTTTCTTTTTTGACACAAAACCATCTACTTGTCACAGCCATTCAAACATACAAGTTTAGGCACAGCCACAGGCGACACGTTATACCACAACTGGGCACCAGTGAGTTCGAGGGCTTCCTGCAACCACTGCAGTCACCCAGGTGGCTCAGCACAAGTTAATGTAGCAAGTTGTGCTGACTGGTTCACCGCCAACACAAGCCCTGGATGCATCAGACCCTGGGCAGATTCCAGGCGCTGGTGAGGCCCCAAGTCTGCAGCCCAAAGTCCAGGGCGGGCCCCCACTGTGAGGGCCAAGGCCTCCCGGCAAGCCCAGTTGAAGCAGGGGCAAGCTCCTGGATGTGCACGTGACCCCAGCTTCTGTAAGCTACAAGGAGGCTCATCAAGGAAGGTGATGCCTGCCCCATCCCATCTGCCGCTGGACTGAGGCGGGGTGCGCAGGGTGCCTCCACGCCGCAGCTGTTGCTGTGCTACACATCCGAAGAGCCCAGAACAAGAACTGGCCGCCGGCTCCTCACAAGGACAGCCACAGGGCTTTGTCCCATGGCACAGCTTCCTGCCCGTCAACCCTGTGTTCCAGCACAAGTGGGCCTGTGCTGCCTGCACCAAAACAAACGCCTGTTTGTGTGAGAATGCCACGTTTACACTCCGAGAAGCCTGTACTTGTTCAGTCTTGAAAACTCTTCCCACGAGTGCTCCGCCTGCTCTTGAATCTCTACCTATCGTCATGTGTGTCCTCGGCCTGTGGCTGGAGGTGGCGGTTACTGTGTTTTCACATTATCTTACCAAAGGGGTTAAGTGTCTCCAGGCAGAAACAAAGAACCATAGGTCGCTCCTGTTTCTTTTTTTACCCCTTTAAACAAACTTATTTTAGTGTTGTGGGGTACAAGTGAGGGTTTGTTATAAAAGTAGGCTGCACGCAGATGATGTCTGGGCTTCTAGCTGGCCCTCTCCCCCCTCGGGAGTGGAGCAGGTGCCTGAGTACCGCTACTTGCTCCCCTCCTTCTTCCTCCCCTCACTCCCATTTCTTAGAAAGTTTCTCCTCATAGACAGTGGCGAGTGTTCCTGGAATGCTTTCCATGATGTTCCCAGTGTAGCCGTTCCATGCTGACTACTTTATACCTGCGTAGTGATTATCAAGCAAAACGTTGACCACACAGCTGACTCCTCTGGTCTGTGACACCTGGGACACCGGAAACCCCTTCCCGGGTGACACCTGTCCTTCCTGGGGTCTGTGGATGAGGAGCAGGGGTTTACTGGTGTTTCCCAGCATCTGTCCAGGAAGCTGGACTGGCTACACAGCCACCTCATACACGAGGGAGGAGCTGAGGGAGACCATTCCGAGGAAAACAGTGAATGTGCTCGTTTCCAGAAGACCTAGATTTATAAAGTAGCCAATTCCCCAACCCTCAACCAAAAACAAGTACCATTTCCATCTGTCCCAGGGTAGTTTTCAGTGTTACTAACACTTTACACCTTACTTTCAGAGGTCACCCTGCTTGCAAGCCAAATCTCTGCTGCCTCGGGCCTGGGACCCATCTTCTAGAACACGCTCCAGGCCTGAGCCCCAACTTCCAGGCTGCTGGGCACAGAGGAGATGATGTGCTCAGGGAAGAAGGCCATGTTCACTGGCTGCTGCCTCAGAAACCGAAGGAATTCCAGTCTCTTCTCAGACACAGCACCCTCTGTGCAGGGCTGCTCCAGGAGAACAGAGGCAGCGACTGCCATCCTAGCAGAACGCGCAGGAGAGGCTCAGTCCTTGTGGTCCTCCAGGCCCAGTCTAGGCTGCCTTCTGCTTCTGTTCTTCCTGTGGGAGGAGCGAGGAAGGCTCAACACCTGATGCTGCCTCCCCTTGCGAGTCTGCAGGGGCCCTGGCACTGTCTCTGCCCATGTTCTGGCCACAAGCTTGAGGGTGCACTGGGTCATCACTATCTACTTCCTTCCCCTTCCTTCCTTTCTCCACAGGTGGGGATGACATTCTCTGGAAACGCCTGAGGCTTGACTCACGAGAACACCACTGCCCGAGATTTTCGCGACCCAGGCTCAAAGCGGCCCCTACCTTGACAGTCTTCTCCAGCTGGGACAAGGCCTCCTCATACCGAAGGACCAGTGGCTGCAGCAGCTCATGGGAGAGCTCATGGCGCTCTAGCTTGGGTGTCCCGGCATCACTCAGCATCCGCAGAAACCTTCTCTCCTGGAGGGAAACTCATAAGTCGAAAGGGGTCCCTGGGCCAGCTTTGTCACCCTCAGGCAGCAGAAGCCCCGCCAAGACCCTCATGGTCTCACCTGCACTTTGAGGAGCAGCGTAAAGGCCTGTCCAGTCTGTCCAGCTCGGGCAGTCCTCCCAACTCTGAAATCAAGCACAGCCATCTCCAGATGACAGCCTCCCACACTTTAGAGATCCAGTAAACGACGGTTTCTCTCCAGGCCCACCTCGATCCAAACCACGTGTGGTATTCCCACAGGTGGTGATCTAACCCCCAAACAGCTGTTGCCAGCCCATCTCACCGGTGCACGTAGGTTCGCGGATACTGGGGAGCATCATAGTTGACCACCAGCTCCACGCCTTGCACGTCGATGCCTCGCGCTGTGGCATCGGTGCTGATGAGGCTGCAAGACACAGCACCGTGGGCCCTGCCTGAGCTGGAACAGGGACACCCACACCTGCATCCGGCCCTGCTGGGAACTGGCGGTCATGGAGTCGGGGTCCGAAAGAAAGTGCCCTCCGGAGAGCCCTGGCCGACACACCTGGAGTATCCCACCCCACAGAGCAGGTCCCGGCCCCCCAGACTCACAGCTGGATTTTCCCCTGTTCGAACTGCTTCAGAATCGTCTTCCTCTGGCCAGGCCCGTAGCGGGAAGAGAACTCAGCCACATTCACACCCCCAAAAGCTTGCACGAGCAGGAAAAGCCTGGGAACAGAAAAGGTTGGGGCCAGAGGCACGAGGACCAGACCTGCCTCCACCACGCCCACCCAGCTGGGCCTCACCTGTGGGAATTCTCTCGGGAGTTGGTAAAGCAGAGGATCCTCGGGAAGTTCATCTTCAAGACCAAGTGCAGAATGACCAGCGGCTTGGAGCTGAGGCTGCAAGGCACATAGTGGTGCTACGGGGCACAGCAGGGGTTGGACGGGAGTCCTGGGCACGTGGGCATGCCCCCCTGCCCTCGCCGGACCCCGCTCACCGTGAGGCCTGCAGGGAAGGCGTACTTCCCATTTGAGTTCCCATCCCCGTCTTCAGGGCCCCTGCGGGCCACGCTCGTGGAGAACAGCCGGGGCTGGTGGAGCCCCAGCTGCTGTAGCTTCTCAGGGTCCTGGGTCAGCGTGGCTGAAAAAAGCAGCTTCTGCAGTGGCATCTGAGGACAGCAGGTGCTGGAAGAGAAGGGAGCAGTGTAGTGCCCTGCCAACTGGCCCTCCTGAATTCCAGGGAGAGATTTCCACGACTGCGCCCCACAAACACCACACCAGGTCAAGAGCTCCGTGCTTCTGGCTCCCGTGACACGAAGTGGTTCTTCGAGCCAGACTCACCCAGCCTCAGGGTAGCTAGGTCCCAAGTCTGATACTAGTACCTGGCAGCTGTCACAGCTGAGGGCTGTCTTCTTTGGAGCAGGGCACAGGGGTCCAGAGGGCCCTTGCTCTGGAAGGCTGCTGCCACCACTCGTGGCAACCAGGACTGGTGCATGCTGTCAATCATCCGGTCAGCCTCATCAATGATCTACGGGAGACAGGAGGCCGGGACTGGGTGGTTGGCGGGCTCACTGCTGAGGTCAGCCCCCAGCTTGAGACCAAGCGTCTAGACAGTGCCTACCAGGAAGCGGAGCTGCTGCAGGTGGAATCCTGGAGTCTGGTCGATGTGGTCCACCAGGCGGCCAGGAGTGGCCACCACGATGTCTGCCAGGCAGCGGTAACCGTTGGCTCTGCAAACCAGATTGTGGCTTGACAGGAAACAACTTCCTCCAAGGCCCCTCAGACAGCAAGGTGCGGCCTGCCTCAGTCCACAGCCCTGAAGCCACCCCATGTGGGGAAAGTAAAAGGTAGCACCTCACAAACACCAGGTAGCTGGACGTGGAGCCACCCCGCTTGTGCCACATGTGCCTCAGCCCTCCCATGGGGCTCACCAGGGACCTTCCTGAAGAGCCTGCCACCAGCAGAACCTACGTTTTCTGGACGAGGCTTTCCTGCTCCTTGGCCAATGGCTTCTGCCCAGTAACCAGGGCGACTCGCAAAGGAGTGGTGTCCGTATAGATACTGAACACTTTGCTCACCTGGAGAAGAAACCTGTCACCAGCCAGGAAGCACCTGCTGTTCCATTACCGTAAACAGGACTCTGGGTCTACAGTGGGTCACTTAGGACCAAGCGCCGTGCATGTCCAGCAGCAGCTGAGGACGGCAGTAATGTCCTCAAGGCGCAAGAGCCACACACCTGCTGGGCCAGCTCCTTGGTGGGCAGCACGACCAGGGCGCGAATGTGGCACACAACTCTCTGCAGCAGGGCCTGTAGGGCAGGAGTGACTCTGTCAGGAAGGTCGCCTGTGTGCTCTGCTCCCTGCTGCAGAGAAAGGGGACCCTCACACCCACCTGCACCACAGGGATGACAAAAGCCAGAGTCTTCCCACTGCCCGTTGGGGCGGAAACACAAAGGTCACTGGGCTGGGAGCCGCCTCTGCCCACCAGAAACCCACTGGCTGTGCTCTCCAGGAGGACGGGAATCACAGCCGCCTGGACTGAACAAGGAAAGGCAAGGGGCAAGTCACGTTTACGCCAAGACCAGCTGCCTTCCCACCTGTGAGTTCTGGGCCGGGCCGCTCTGCTGGAGGCCCAGGAATGTCTCTCCCTCTAGGAGGGCCCAAGGGCTGCTAGGCTCAGCTGGCCCAGTGTTCATTAGGAGCCAGGAACCCAAGGAGGCCAAGATGGTACCTGACGTGGAACGTGGCACGGGCTCCCATGCTGTGACCGCTGCTCTGTATGAAGATAACCTAAGTGTCCCCCCACCACCTGCCTAGGACTTGGGGGCACCTGGAAAGTAGGACGAGATGCCGTGTGCCCGCAGCTGCTTCTGCAGGTCAGGGTGAACCTCAGGGATGTCCTCAAGAGGAACCAAATCTTCGGTGACATTCTTTCTGACGTGGCTTGGCTCAGCTAACCACGTTGGCAGGAAAGGCTGGACCTACCACAAAAGAGAAAGAAAAGATACCGGGAAACAGTTCCAGGCCGCCCTGAGTTGGGGAGTTGAGTGTGCAAAACCAAGAACTCAGGCTAGAGGAGGAAGGCCCAAAAAGCCTTCTACCTTGTCTGTATTCCTCCTCAAACTCCAGACCACATTCTACACAAGGCCCCAAAGAAACTTAAAGGTACACACAAGCAGATGCTGCTCCTTAAACAAACCTCCCAGGAGGGTCCCGACAAGCCACAGAGGCTTCCACACTCGGGTACCCACAAGGCCCTCTGTGACTCCCACACGTCTGTCCCGGCAAGGCAACCCACTGCAGGCCTCTGCCCCCTCGGATCCCCAGGCAGTGACCTGGCTTCCTCCCAGCTTCTGTCTTGCACGCCTGCCTTGCCCGTGCCTGATCTCTCGCCTTCTTCCACAGCAAGAAGTGGGTACTACCCGAGATCTCTTTACCGCGCATAAAGTTCACAGAAATGCCCGCCTGCTACAAAGACACCGAGGCCAAAGAGACCGGAGCACCCGCGCTCTGATTGTGCGGTGGGGACGGGGAGCAGGACCAGCAGTCCC